TGTGTGTGTGTGTGTGTGTGTGTGTGTGTGTGTGTGTGTGTGTGTGTGTGTGTGTCACATCTCAATAACGGGGAAGTTGATTTGCATCTAAACACAAATATAGTTCAGTCTTAAATGGCAGTTTCCCCTAAATGTTCTGTTAAAATGGCTAATCCAGTCTAAACTAATCATACAAGAACTGTATTATAATRTGCATATTATTGTGTTGCATCAATATTAATCAGTAAGCATGATTTGTTGTAAGAGGAAAAGCCTAAAATGCAGCACAGGACAGAAATGGGGGGCAACAAGTCTCTTTCTGTCTGTCAGTTTTTAGCTCCCAGTGCCGCAGTCCTCCCTCTCTGACAGATGCGTGAAGTTTCCCCAGCTACACGCACACCCTCACGCTWACCAGGTTCCCGAAAACAAAAACACAACTTTTACATACAGATGTGAGAGCTGACTTACCTTTACGTTGACCAATCCGCGTTCGTTCAGCGGCTGGTGTCGAGTCGACGCGCTCGGATTTCAGATTCAGTTTTTAGCTGCTTCGTCCCAGCCTCCCCGTGTTGAATGGAGGCAACAAAAAAATAAAAACAACTCGAGAGGCGGTGTTTTTTTCTCTGTGTGTGTGAAAGACAGAGAGAGAGACAGATGTTGGCTCGTCCCGCAAACTGCGAGCATTTCAGAGCAGCGGCAGCAGTCACACGGAGCTCTTCGGCTCAGCCCACTCTGCGCAGTGGCCGCTTCGCCAGCAGAGGCTGTGTTCCGCCAGGACACCGGAGGAGGGAGGAGTCACGGAGAGCGGCGCGCGAAGCATCATGGGAAGTGTAGTGTATGCTAGGAACAAGCTAACAAATCAATTTGTTTGATAAATTTAACACTGTAGCTACTTATGTGAAAGTTGCCAGTTTATAATAACCAGGTTTTAATTGGCAAACAATTTCTAGTACTCTTTTTCTACCTCTTATTTTGTCTTTTTTAATGTTAATTTATTTGCTACGGTTGTTGTTTACATTTTTAACTTATTTTATCTTACTTTTAATTTGTTTTTTAACCTCTTATTTTACCTTTTTTAATGTTTTGATTATTTGCATTACGGGAGCTGCAAAAATTAGTTCGTTGTTCATTGTCTGTGGACCGCAGTGTTCTTTTCAGTGCAACAATGACAATAAAGATCGATCTATCTAATCTATCTATCTAATCTATCTATCTATCTATCTATCTATCTATCTATCTATCTATCTATCTAT